TATGGAAATTGGACCATACCTCTTCATACCACCCAACATTTCCACTTTCTAAACCGTGAAGCAATTAAACAAAACCCTTATCTGCGAGTGTGGGAAATGGCTAGGCTGTGTGCCCACATTCGCGAGATCGGTTCGAATTTCCCGTATTAACCTTGAGAGAGATCGGCGTGTGTGGACACACAGGGCAGCCGCTTCCCTGTTCCGATTGAATTGGAGTGTGAATGAAAATACACCATTTTGTCTGGACTTCTATGAGCAAAACCCCAAAATTAAAACACCAGCCACTTCTTGTCGTATTTGTGTGGAGATGCCACTTAATTGGAATGCTAATATTGTAATATTCACTAGTTAGCAACAACAATTTGCCTTTATATAGCATCCTTCACGTGGGGTAGCATCTCGCTGCGTAGAAATTTAATTTAGTCACATGTAATGTAATCCTACCTGTGCACAGCAATGACAGAGGTGAATAATCGAGGACTTCCAGGGATCACGCTGGTAAAGATAAATTCAAATCGTGTGTTGTTGCATTTAGTAAGGATGTAAAGAGCTTCAGTTTGACCTCGAAGTTTCTGGAAAAAAAACCCACTCATTTTGAAATACTTTGGTGCTGGTGGGGGGAAGAGTTCTCCAAGGTTAAACACAATTACCCATTCAAATCAGGTAGCTTGCAACTTGCACTCAATTTTTTAATATAGAATTCTACTAAAGTAAGTAGTGAGTACAAATGTGGCTGTTCAGAGGTTACTTTATGCTTAGCCACTGCAGTAAAAGTACTTGGTCTGTGGAAAATTGCTGCTGCAATCCTCAAACCTCCAAATAAATTTACACCTGCCAAATAATAAAAATTGTAGAAGTATACAATCCACTATGTTCAAATAACCGACTTTCTAACCTTACCGAGTTAGCAGTTCGGGTTGTTATGCTTAAGATGCAGTTAAAGCCAACAGCTGAAAGAGAAATGCGACAACATTAAATTAGAAAAGGATATACAAAACTAGCTGTATATAAATAATACAAATTGGTAAGGCGTTGTACATAGCTACTAACATGGGTCTTAGGGTTAGGGTTAGGCATGTTGTTAACTGTAGTACACTCTCCAACATACTGCACTATGGAGGAAATTCATGCAATCAGTGGTCAGATTCATTTCATGGTAAACAAATGAACTACAGTAACCAAACTCGCCTGATGGGAGTTTTACTTACATAAATTAACACGTGGAAGAGCCAGTGAGTGCCAAATAATTCGCAAATTTGTCACAAGCAGTCGACCTGTAAAAGTAAATTGTCGGTGGTTTTAAAAACAGCTTCTTAAATAAAAACAAAACAAAAGTGTAGTTGAACAATGATCGACCAGCCTCAACAATAGGCTTGATAAAACACGTTGAAAGTTGACAAGCTAATGGCCAACGGGTAGAACGCTCCGCGCTGGACAAGCTGCAGGAAACTGTACAGTTTATCTTTACCAGTACACCAATGTGCACCATCTCGTCCCTTGATGCCTGGACCTCTGCTCACTTACGCCTGTTTTCCCCAGGCACAAGCAAGTGGGGTTGCACTTTTCCCTTGGATAAAGGTATAATTGAAGAACAAGTGCTAATAAATATATACACACATATATATATATATATATATATATCGCAAAAATAGATGTTTGCTGCAAAAAAACGTAAACTTCCAAAAGTATGAATCACTCTCTACCTCTGTCTCCATTATTCCTTTCGTATCTTCAATGGAATCCAAACAGTCGATCAAGACTTCTCCAGGTCTCACCTTCATCTGTCTAAACAGAAAACACGTCGTGTTACCATCGGGTTCGCCTGCAACGTCTAAGCGCTCTGGGGCGCTATCCTGTCTTTTCGACCGCGCCTTGGGTCATCTTCCTCCCCGCCCCCCCCCTCCCCCCCCTCAGCCCCACCGGCTCGGCGCCGGTGATCCGTTACCGCGAAGCGCTCCCGAGACGCCGCCCGGCGTGGAGGGCGCCGCGTAAACCCAAGTCGCCGTCGGGGTCTCGACGCGAGTCGTTGCACCCGAGCGAATGGGGGGGGAAACGAAACCCCACACGCCCTCCCTTCGCTCGCTTCGACGTCTCGCCTCGACCCCCCCCGAGGCAGGATGCCAGGATCACCGCGGTTAAGGTTGGCGTCGCTGTCGTCGTTGTCGTGATTTATTCTCAGTCGGGGCTTCGCTTCCGACCCTTGAAAAGGAAGTGGGGGGTCGATGGCGCCCTCTGGTGGGGGTGATCCGGCACGACACGGACATCAATCACTCCCCACTCCCCTCCCCTCCCCTCCCCCACCCCTCCCACCCCACCCCTCAGTGCCCGTTTCGAGACGCTGTGCGTTAAATAGATTCAACAACAACAACAACAACCACCACCACCGCATCTTATGGCGCCCTAAAGCCAGACGCCATTTAGGCTCTGGCCATCACCTCATGAACCCACAGTGACTGCCCCTCGGGGGGAGGGCCGGGCCGGGCCGGGGGGGGGAGGGCCGGGGGGAGGGGGAGAAGGGGGTGGAGGTGAGGCCACTGCAAACCGTCACCCAGACCGCACTCACTGAAGAGAGATGTCGAATCTGACGTCTCTGTCCTCCCACAGCGCGTCCAACACCGACGCCATGGCCCCCGGCCCCGGGCTCCGGCCATCACATCACCATGGCAACCGGCCGGCAGGCAGCGACACCCCCCCCGGCCGGCCAGGGAACCGCCGCTCACCGCGCCGACAGCGCCTCCGCTGGCCGGGCAGGGAACTGCAGCCCGCCGCCGAGGTTGCAGCGCCGCCACCGCCCTGGGGCGGGATGTGGCGCTGCCGCTGACCGCAACGACGCCGCCTCCACTGGCTGGATCTGGTACTGCAAGTGGCCACCGGTTGCGCTGCCTCCAGGGAACCGCAAACGGCCCCCAATGACCGACCGACTGCGGACGGTGGTTTTCGCCCACAAAGTACGCAGTCACTACACTTCACGGTATATCTTGCGAAGCGCCTTTGAGACGCCTCGACAGCGCGGATCAGGCGCTGCATCAAACACAAGGATTATTGTTATTATTATAGCAACTATCCCTGGAGGGGCGGGGGTGGGGGGGTGGGGCGGGGTGTTGGCGGGGGCGGGGGTGGGGTTGGAGGCGGGGACGGAGGTGGGGGCGGAGGTAGGGGGGTGGGGGGGGGCGGGGGCGGGGCGGGGACTGAGGGGGCGGAGGTGGGGCGGAAGTAGGGTGGGGTGGGGTTGCGGTGGTGGGGGTGGGGGCGGGGCGGGGGGCGGGGGTGGTGTGGGGCGGGGAGCGGGGGTGGGGGGGTGGGGCGGGGGTGTATGCGGGGTGGGGGTCGGGGCCCGGGCCGGGCGGGGGGCAGAGGTAAGGGCGGGGTCCGGGGCCGGGGTGGGGGTGGGGGGCCGGGGGCGGGGTGGGGGGGGCCGGGGGCGGGGGGTGGGGGTGGGGCCCGGGGCGGGGTGGGGGTGTCCCAGGTACTATGTTTGGCAACGGAATGTGAACGTCATGTCATTCCTCTGTGACAGTCTTGGTCGTCCAGTTCCTGAGCCTTAAGTCATGGATACAAATAATAATAAAATAATAATAATAATATAATAATAATAAACCCGGCACTTGATATAGCACAAATGGTTCAGTTGCAGTCCACGGGTTACAGACCACCTGTACAGGGCGGCTGGACATGAAATAGCTTTTTCGAATAGTAAAGCTTTGTAACTGGATAAAAAAAATAGGTAAATAGGATTTAATCTGATCAGGGGTTTGATTTAAATACACCCCGTTATTTGCTTGTCGATCTCATTGCTGATCGTTGC